TTCTTAGGGCAGGAGGAAATGTGTCCACGGTACCTGGGTGGCCAGAGCCACAAACTAAAATCCATTCTTCCTGTTGGTAACAGAAGCCCCAGAATTTTAACTGCTCATGGGTTCACTTGCCAAGAGACCTCCTTTCCCAGGTTCCTTTGCTTTGAGTATGTCTGTGTGATTGAAAGGCTGTAGAATGTGAGAAATGATAAGTGGGGTAAGCAGGTCTCTCCCCCTTCCCTGTGGGTTGGAATGAAGCCATGTAGTGGTGAACAACTTTGAACACTTGAGAAGAAAAAAAATCACCCCGAGGATATGAGAGAATGGTAAGAGAGGATCCTCTGGTGACAGGGTTCACCAGAGACAGAGTGGGGAGCAAATCAGGCCAACTGACGAAGTACACTGCTGAGGGGGGCAGCGGGGAGGCAGGAGGTCTGCCGCACCATGTGGGTCAGCTCCGAGGACGGGGATCGAACCCGCACTGAAGGGGCTATGGCCAGCTTGCAGTGCTGAGCTTTAACCTGCAGTGCCATCAGGGAGGGCCAAGAGAGATTCTTCTAACATCCTATCTTGGGTCCTCTGTTCTTGCCTTTTTTTTTTTTTTTAAAGTTTTATTTATTTATTTATACAGAACTGGGGTATAGGCCAGAGATGCGGAGGGTGAGAGGATTCACCAGAGACAAAGCGGGGAGCAGAGCAGGCAGATGGAGGAAGCACACTGCTGAGGGGAGCAGCGGGCGGGTCAGGAGAGGTCTGCCCCGCCATGTGGGTCACCTCTGGGGCAGGCGGGGATCGAACTCATGCAGAAGTGGCTTAGGCTTCTTAGTGCTGTGCTTTAACCCACTGCGCCACTAGAGAGGGCCTCTTGCCTTTTAACTAGAAATATAACTTACATCATCCGGCCGTATAAGGTTGGGCTTTGAACCATGAGAATGTACTGCTTATTTAGGGAATTGATTTTCTCAATAGGAATAATTGTTTTCAAGAGTTAGATTCCTGGGCCCTCCCTGGTGGCGCAAAGGGTTAAAGCACAGCACTAAGAAGCTAGCCACAGCTGTAGCTGCTTCAGCATGAGTTCGATCCCTGACCATGGAGGGGCAGACCTCGCCCGCCGGTCTCCCCGCTGCTCCCCTCAGCAGTGTATTTCGATGATATGCCTGTTCTGCTCCCCACTCTGTCTCTGGTAAATCCTCTCACCACCCCCATACCTCTGGCCTGTACCCCAGTTCTGTGTGCATAAATAAATACATCTTTAAAAGAGAGAGCTAGATTCCCAATACCTAATATTTTACTCCACCATACTTCTGAGATGTGAAACTGAGGAAGATTTCAAAAACAGAAAAAGACATGCATGCTGGTGTTCTCCATAGTTCCAACATGTAGGGAAGCCATTAAAAAAAAAAATCACACTAAATGTTCAGCCACAGGGAATAATCCAGTCAATTTATGGGACAGCTCCAGCATTATACAGCCATTAAAATCACCATCAAAATGACAAATATGGAGGACAATGGAGAGAAACTGTATGTGTACTGGTGTTCCTGTCGAAAAGAAAATGGAATGAGGAAGTTCAAGGTTTTCTCAGGAACTGTTCCTGAAATAACCACCAAGACTTACCTAAAGATTAAAAAGGACAATTTATTGTTACCCCCCCCCCACACACACACACAGAGTTCTGCAACATCACAGAGAAAGGCTCCACAGTTATCTGAACTGAAGAGAGTTCTCTGCAACAGCCAATACCAGAACTCACAGAGCAGCACTTACAACATCCTTAGAGGAAGGAAGATTCTAGAATCTGGAGTAAGTAAGAGAGTGAAGTTAAGCGTGCAAGATCTCCGAAAAGACAGGACCTGAGATAGCTCCATGTGGAAAGAAAAGTATTCGATGGCAAAATCCAACCAGCCTGCTAATAATTCAAATCAAGAGCTGGGGCGTGGGGTGGCCTCCAAGCCTCCCTGTGACTGTCAGTCTGTAACTGAAGACTCTAGAGCTGTGGGGTGGATGGTTACAGAACTAGATGCAGCGAGTCTCACAATATTAAAAGCTGGCGTCTGCGAGGCGGGGGTGGGGAAGCTGGGGAGACGTGCCTTTACGAGACTGCTTGACACGAGACTGCTTGACTCTGTGTAGGTTGAAACCAGCTAAGGCACCAGCCGTTAAGACTCACGCACCTGCCTGGATGTTTGGTCTTGAAAAAAATAAGAACAACATCCTTTTTTCAAAATCCTTTTCCTTAATGTTGGAGGAACAGTGCACAAAATGATTGTGGAAACAGATGTTCATGTATGGTTTGACAGCTCCTCAGCTTCTCTACCCTTCCCTCTGTCATACACAAGTAAAATTAAGGTAGTCCAGTATTTGCTAGAATGAAATCTTCACATATATCAGTCCTACTCCGATGAAATTATTATGTCTATTTCAGAGTGACAGCCACAAAATATTAACAGTGGCTATTTCTCTGTTAGGATTTGGGACATTTTAAAAATTCATTTGAACTTTGATATACATTTGTAAATGATCAGCATGCTCTTTCCCAAATAATGAATTTCATCTTCTTTCAAAGATAAGGAAAATTATGTTTAGAATAACTAAAATAATGATAGCCACAGAGGCTGCAAAGTATATATACATATATATGACCCCACGTATTTAAATACATACGATATATATTTTTGATGCTTTAAATAATTTTTGGAGGTGGGACACCATACTTCTACTCCATTAAGAGAAAATTTTAGACCCTCCCTGATCTTGAATGGGTTAAAGCGCAGCACTATGAAGCCAGCCACAGCCACTGCAGCACAAGTTCAATCCCCAGCCAGGGAGTGACCCACATGGTGCAGCAGACCTCTCCTGTCTCTTGCTGCGCCCCTCGGCAGTGTATTTGAGTCAATTCACCACTTCTGTTCCACATTTTGTCTCTGGTGAATCCTCTCACAACCCACCCCCCCCACACACACACACCTCTGGCCTGTAACTCAGTTCTTGTATACATAAATAAGTCTTTTAAAAAGAGAGGGAGAGAGAAAACTTTAATAGTCTAGAAGTCTTATTTTCTCCCCACACCCATCATGCTCTGACATCATAGGGCTGGCCAGCAGTGAGCTTGGGTGTACGGGGGCTCAGGCTGGTGCTTCAGTTGAATCCTAGCACCTTTCTTTTGGATCCTTTTGGTCCTGGCCACTTTCTTTCAGGGTTACAGGAACCATGTGGGCTGAGAGTGCCAGTGAGAGTCCCCCTTGCCAAGAATCTGGCCCTTTGCTTGGGGAGCACAATACCCTCTGATTGCTGGGTGATGCTGCATGCTTCCTGTGCTGCCATGGAAACCTGGGGGTGGGCTTCCTTTTTTTCTTTCTAACTGCGCACACCCCCTGTTGTCCACTTACCCGAGACTCCTGTGTGTGCATTGAGGGAGGAGGGAGAGGGCAAAGGAGCATCTCCTTGTTTTCTAAAGGGCTTGGAGTGCATCCAGTGGGTGCCTCTCTGTCCTCTGTGTTGGTTATTTTGGTGATTTTTGGAAGGTGTGTGTGTGTACATATATAGAAAAGATATTTTATTTATGCATACAAGAGCTGGGTGCAGGCCAGAAGTGGGGGTGGGAGGGCCAGTAAGAGGACTCACCAGAGACAGAGTGGGGAACAGAACAGATGGATCCACCTAAATACACTGAGGGGAGCAGCAGGCAGGTTAGGAGAGGCACGCTGCACCATGTGGGTCACCCCCCTGCCTTCCTGGTGCGGGATAGAACTCACACTGCAAGTCACTGGTGACAGCCTCATATGCTGAGACTTAACCCTTGAGCCACCAGGGTGGCTCTGGGTATATATAAAATTATATATATTTAAGCACATGCATACCAAAAAGAAACAACTTCCTAAAACCGTGCTTCAGGGATTAGGGATAGATTCCCCTTCAGAATCTGAAATGAAGCCAGATTTCTTACATAATGAAGAATAAAAGCAATGTCTTTTAGTGTTGTTGCTTTTGTTAAAAATCCCCTCCCGAGTGCAAACTAGTACAACCACTATGGAAAACTGTTTGGAGGTTCCTCAAACTGCTAAACATGGAGCTTCCTTACAACCCAGCAATCCCACTCTTAGGTATCTACCCAAAAGATACAAAAACACTGCTTCAAAAAGATGCCTGCACCCCCATGTTTATTGCTGCTTTATTCACAATTGGAAAGACATGGAAACAGCCCAAATGCCCAAAATTGGATGACTGGATTAAAAAGATGTGGTACATATCCACAATGGAATATTACTCAGCAACCAAAAAAAAAGGAACACATGTCTTTTGCAGCAACATGGATGGAGCTGGAAGGGATCATGCTTAGTGAGATAAGCCAGAAAGAAAAGGAAAAATACCAGATGGTTTCTCTCATAGCAGGAATATAACGGAACAGGCGACAAAATAATAATAATGATGAACAGCTATATACCAGAGACATTTGTGGGGTGCAGTTGGGAATGGGATCAAAAACAGTGGGGGAGAGGGAAACGCACTGGACTATGGTGATGGCACACGGGTGACTGGGTGATGGGAAACCCAAGGGGGTTGCAAATGAGATGGAAAAATGCACAAAAATATGTTAAAAAAAACTAATATAATAATAAATAAATAAAAATCCCCTCTCTGTTACCCGGAATAGCAGGTGCTTGTTCAAAGGAGTTTAGAGTCCATTGGCCTACCTGGGCTAGGAGGTAACTGCTATTTATTTTATTATTTATTACTGATGCGTGTCAGCCATTATTTAATTAAACCAAATGAACGACAAATTACTGAGCGAAACAAAATGAAAGTGTTCGCAGAAACCGAAAGCCAATTAAATCTGTAGAATCCTCGCTCCGGGCGTCTGTGGAGAGGAAACGCCCGCCCGCAAGGCCTCAACCACCCGCACGGACGTTCTTGGAAAGGCCCGCATGCGGCCTCCCCGCAGCCCCGGGGCCCAGTCACCGCCACCCGGGGACAGATCCTGCCGCTCCCCGCGCGGGGACGGAGTCACCTACCGAACCTGGTTCTCCAGGAAGTGCATGTAGCGGTAGAGCAGCGTGTAGGACCGAGACAGGACGCCCACCGACTTCATGCGTGCGCCGCGCTCCAGCTCGCTCTCCACCGGCATGTTGGCGAAGCAGGCCAGGCCGAAGAAGGGCCCCTTTCGGAAATAGCTGCAACAGAGCACAGCACAGCTCCAGGGGACACTGCGGGGCGAATTTCTAAGTGGGGGGCAGGGGGAGGGGTAGTTCCAAGGGGCAACAATTTGTGGTGCTTTGCCTTTCTTTGCCCATGAGAAGATACAGCCGCAAAGACCCGTGTCCAAGGCTCTGCAGGACAGGTCTCTGCCAGAAAGCAAAGTGCTAGACTAAACCTCAGGGACAGTTTGTCCAGGCCATTCAACCTCGCAGAGGAGACAGCCGAGGCTCAGGGCTGTGTGGGCTTGCCAGGGCGCCCGCCTGGAGCTGGAGCTTGGGCGCTGGTACAGGGCTGTGCCTGTCTCCTGCACAACAACTCTGACTTGATGGAACAGCCAGAACCGAGCTCGGTGGTCAGGCTCCGCTGGAACCAGCTCTGTTTTGTACGCGGAGACCGTGTACACGGCGGAGACCAGGTACCCGGCGGGGACCAGGTACCCGGCGGGGACCAGGTACCCGGCGGAGACCAGGTACCCGGCGGGGACCGTGTACCCGGACCGGAGACTCACTTCCCGAGTCTCTCACGTGAACGCAGCAGAGACCAGTCTGCCCCTGGGTTTCCTCCCCTTCTCACACCTGCATCAGTCATGGCTCCAGCCCGTGAGGTGACTACAGCTACGCCTTTATCCCCAGTTTCTTTCTCCTCACCAGAAATTTGGTTTCACAGGACTCTGAATGAGCCTCCCTAAAACTAGAAGGTCAAGTTTTAGCTCAGAGACACCTAAATTAGCCCAAATGGAAAGTCCAGTCATTCGTGGGGTAAGGTCCAATCATTTCTGAGAGCGAGAGAGAGAGAGAGAGAGAGAGAGAGAGCGGGAACACCCACGCGCCTCGACCACAGATGTTCTTAACTCCTTTGGATCATGAAACCCACTGAAAACCTAATGGAAGCTCGGAACCTGCTATAAATCCCAAACCACATAAATGTTTTCAGGGCATTTACACACACCTCTTGCAGCTCCTCGGATAGGGCTTTTTGCCTGGGAAAAGCGTGTGCGGAGAGGAAGTGCACAGAGCAGACCTACATCGAGAGGTACTTACATGAAATCAGACTGAACTTTATGGGACCCACTGGCCATGGACTTGAACTCCACCCCTTCGAGGTCGACATCTTGAGGCAGGCACCACTCTACCACGTTTCCTGGGGGAAAGCAAGGACCCGAGTTAAAGGGGCAAAGCCACTTGAGGTCGGGAGCCTCGACCAGCCTCGGCCAGGGCCTCCCGGTGAATGCTGCTGCCCTGTCAACCAGCCAGGGGTCAGGGCGCTCAGCTCATCGCCCCCTACCGGCAGAGGCTGGGCGCGCAGCCAGGAGCTGGTGACCTCTGCCTTCAAATGAACAGTTGCTTGGCACTGACGTTCAGTCACTTCCAGCTCACCTTCCTTTTGTGGCTTTGATTCCAAATGGGTGGTTTTTATCCTCTACCCCTATTTCCTCATCCTGTATTTCCCTCACCCCCTTGAGATCTTGCTTCCCGTTCTTTCTACAGCCTCCAGTGACTGACAGACCACAAATCCCTTTTATTTTCAGCTACTTCTACTGTGACATTTGAGAGCCCTTCAAAAACGTTGCCTTTTTGACCTGGAGTCTCACGATGGAACACTATGTTAGTTCTCTGCCCATTCTCTGTGAAGCACTGCTAGGTTTTTCTTGTCGCTCCCCAAATGAGGCCCTGCTTAAAATTTAAGCCACATTTTCTTTGTTTCTAGAATTTTTGGAGCTCATTTGCTCACCATTTACTGCCGAGTTCTACTGAGCTAGACATTGGAACTACAAAGTCAAATAAGACATAGCCCTATCATGAAGGGCCCACATCGAAAAGGCCAGACACAAGTGTTGGCAAGGGTGTGTGTTGAGAAAAAGGAGCCTCTTACACTTCAGGTGGGAATGCAGTGTACGGGAAAGGGAGCGGGGGCTTCTCAAAATATTAAAAATGGATCTACCATATGGTCCAAGAATTCTTCTCTTAGCTATCTACCTGAAGACCACATAATCTGAAGGGAACCTGCATTCCTGCGTACATTGCAGGACTTCTTCCCATAGCCAAGTTATGGAACCCCTAAGAGCCCAGCATGGGTCTTAACTATTAAAAAAGACAGATGAAATCTTGCCAACTGCAATAATATGGATGGAACTAGAGGGGATTAGGCTGCGCACAAGAAGTCAGAAAGAGAAAGACAAACACCAGATGGTGTCACTCCTATCTGGAATATAAAGAGTCAAAACAAAACAACAGAGCAGACAAAACTAAACCAAAACAAACTGTGGAAAGCTGACTGTAGATTGGAGACTCCCAGAAGGGGAGGGGGGGAGTGGGGAGGAAAGAGAGGGCACCCTGTGGCCTGTGGTGATGGATTATGGGTACTGTGGTAGGGGTGTTGTAACATATATCCGAAAAGAGGTGCTCCTCCACCCCTAAATCATACACAGTATTATAAACCAATGTTACCTCAATTTAACAATTTAACAACAACAACAAAGATTTAGTCTGTGATCTCAGAGTACGGAGATTAACAGAGACCAGCCATTACAGTTCAGAGGGCAAGTGCTATAAAGGAAGATGACAGGGGATTTTGGAGTGCAGCAATGACAATCCATCAGACTGGGGAAGCCAGAGAACTGAACAAAAGCAAGCTTAAGAGAACACTCCAGAATATCCCTTATTCTTGCACAGTCACCATTTTTCCAAAATAAAAATATCAAGCTCCTTGTGAGATTTCACTTTAGAACAAACTTCTCATCGATACTTTGAATCTTAAGCTCCCAGACATGATCAATACATCAATAATCCCAGACACCGATGTTCTCAAACTCAGCGGGGTAGTAGAGGGCTCTGTGTCTGGTCTGCCTAGACACAACCCTGCTCCAAACACAGCAGGCCTCAGAGAGGACCGTCCAACCCCACATTTCATGGCTCTGAGCATGTGCCAATAGTTTATGTCCAAGAGAAGAATCATGGATCCAACCAACTCATCAATGAGCTAAAACAAAAGCATGAGCAACAGAATTAAGATTAGTGAAAAGCCAGAAAAGTTCACATGATATTGTCTTTGCCAGGGTTAAGGACAGAAAAAGGTGTGCTGCATCCTGAAGATGGGCTTAAGGGTAAGGTTTTGCACACCAAGTGCCCCCAAATGCACATACGTCCCCCTCACCATCCACCCATATTTCTTGCCTCTACCGTCCAGCAGCTTTCTGCAACAGGACACGTAGGGAATTTAGGAAGCTTCCCCGCAGATCTATAGAACCATAAGCCCTTCTGCATGCCTTGTGGCTGAGTCTGTAGGTGAGCCCCAGAGGTAAGTGCCCCTGCTTGGTCCTCTGTGGGCACAATCCTAACCCTTTAAGATGGCAGCAGAGGGCCAGCATAGGACAAGGGCACCCTGCAGCAGAATGACAATGTCAACACAGTGTCCTTCCCCTCAGCCACATAACCAGCATCCACCCTCGATTTCTCACACCACTGCTCACTGGCTTCTGCGCTCTAACTTGGCTTCTTTCCTCCAGAACTGGCCTGCCCATGACTGCTCAAGACAACTTTAGTGAGCTCAACTTTGTGTTGAAGAATAAGCATTAAAAGTATGCAAATCAAAACTGCACAGCTGATCAGATTATTATCCTGATTCTGACATCATAAAGCAACTTTGTTGCTTTTGAAATTTACAGAGATGCAAACCTAGTTCATATTCCTTGGCTTCTATCTTCTTCTTGCTCAATATTTTTTTATAGGATTCATCTATGCATGTCACAAGCATGTGTTCATTTGTTATTTCCATCCCACGTGTTTAACAGTTGATCTATTTAACTGTGGCTACACATCAAGCCTATTTCCAATTTGAAGCCGTTAAAAGCAGCAATGCTATTAACTGCCCTGTACTGGCTGTCTGGTGAATACAAGCCTGTTGCTTTGTAATGCAAGAACTACATACAGTTCTCAGAACTTCTTCCCTATGCTTTCTGCTGAGCCTGGGAATGCAGAAGTCAAGAGGTGACCACATTATGTTCACATCAGAAAGTCTGCACAGAGCACCAAACAGCTCACCCAAGATTGCTTATCTAGAGGCTCTTGGCCACAGAGGGTGAGGGTGGGGAGCCGCAGCCCAGCATGTGGAGACTGGATCCAGCTTCACCTGATCCTCCTTGAGCACCTGACTCTGAGGTCAGGTGTCAGTTTAGATCTACCATGTAGGGCATCAGCTGCATCAGGACACCGAGATCATTCAAGGTGGAGGTAGAGAGAGATGACTGAGAACCCATTCACCCTCCTATGTTCTGCTTGTTCTCCTTCCCAACATTATGTTCTTACAGCTAGTAAGAACATAACCACCAGAAGCACAGACAACAGTCTTACACACTGTCTCACCAACTTCCCAAACTGTGAGATCACCCGCCTGCAACCAAGGTCTCCGTGTGTCTCCTTGCAGTTGTTTCTGATTAAACCCTGGCATCCAACACACTCTTCTGTGACCATATTCCTAGTAGCACAGAGACATTTGTATCACTGCACACTGAGAAACCTTCATTATTGATGAGGGTTGACAGGGCTTCTGCAGAAACAAGTTTTAAAAGGGGCATTTTGGACAAATTCTGTACTGTGGAACTTCCACATTACTGTGGAACTTCCAGAGCCTTGAATATGCCGCTGTGCACTGTAAATCTGTGAGATCACACAGAGCTGAATGTTTCCAGAATTATTTGGCCAACAAACCTATTTTCAAGGAGCATCTTAAAGGACGGACATTATAAAATACTTTGTTTAGAAATGCTAGTCCAGGACAAGCTTCAAGTGGACCATCACTAGCCACTCTTTTCCTCTTACAGGAAATAGAACCTCTTACTGTTAGTTTGACAGGTGAGTTTCTAAACACTGACTATGGTTCTCAGGACCTTCTGTAAACAGGTGCAGCTACACAAGGAAATCCCCGGCAATTGGCCACAGCCAGAGTGAGGTTTGTAGTTCTCAAAACAGGCCAGAGTGAGGTGCTCCCCGCTCTGTCTCTTGTGAATCCTCTCACCCTCTGCCTCTCTGGCCTGTACCCTAGTTCTGTATGAATAAATAAATCTTTAAAACACACACACACACAAAACTTAACATTAAGACAACAACCCAGTTTAAAAAACAAAACAAAAGGTCTGAACAGGCACTCTACCAAAGCAGAAATACAGGTGGCAAATAGACACACGAAAATGTCCCCAACACTATGTCAATGAGCTTGTACTGCACAATACTATAGTGGTCAAAATGGAAAACACCAAATGCTGACAAGGAAGTAGAGCAACAGGAATGCTCAGTCATGGCTAGTGGGAATGTGATCTGAGAAGCCCCTTTGGAAGACAGTTGGGAAGTTTCTTTTTATCATTTGTGCATGCAAGAACTGAGGTGTAGGCCAGAGGTGCAGGGGGTGAAAGGATTCACCAGAGTCAGAGTGGGGAGAATAGGCAGATCTATTGAAATACACTGCTGAGGGGAGGGGTAGGTGAGACAGGCGAGGTCTGCTGCTCCATGTGGGTCAGTTCCCAGGCAGGGAAGCAAACTCAAAGTGGCTGTGGACAGCTTCATAGCAGTGAGACTTTAACCCCTGCACCACCAGGGAGGCTACAGTTGGGCAGTTTCTTAAAAAACTAAGCATATTCCTACCATACGTTCTGGAGATGCACCTTCATATTTACTCAATGAGTTGAATTTATACCCTCACAAAAGCCTGCCTATGAATGCCTGTGGCATTAGTCCAAACTGCCTAGAACTGGAAGCAACCAAGATGGCTTTTAATCCTGGAATGGATAAACCAACCATGGACAAGCATATGGTGACTTGTTACTCAGCACTAGGAGATGAACGATCAAGCCATGGAGGAACTTGACATGACACGCTGCAGAGTGAAAAGGAGACAGCCTGCAAAGACTCCATCCTATGTGATCGTGACCATGTGACATAGAAAAGGAACAACCTGAGAGCCAGGGAAAAAGATCAGGGGGCGAGGTGGATGGAGTTTCAGAGCAGTGACACTGTTCTGCATGATGCATGGCTACATGATACTGTACATTTTTCAAGACCCACTGGTTGTACAACAGAGTGAACCCTAAAGTCAACTAGGGACATTAGCTGACAATAATGTATCAACTTTGGCTCATCCATTGCAAG